GAAGTTTCTGCCATGCAAAAATCTAACTGGAGAACATGATTGATGTCTCTTGGCTATGCACGTGTTTCATTGGAGAATATGAATTATGATACACCCATAAGGGTAGGGGAAAACCATCAAGGGTGACAGTGAATTATGTGTCTTAGAGTCGGCTGTACCCAGGCAGTGCTGGACATGTTAACTCCCAATAAAATCTGTTTACTTTTGGAAGTTTGGCTCGAGACTCATGATTTAATTGGGGTAACTGCTGGAATCCTGACATGTAGTTTAGAATTTTGAGGTAATTGTTCTGATGTCAAAAGAAGTAACTCGGATGCTTTTAGAATCCTGTTTTGATCAGTTAGGGCTTTTTATATATGATAGTCTTTCAGATTTAAAGAAGACATGCTGATGTGCAGTTCATCTGCGAGCACAGAGGTGGCTCTGCAGTCCTACTCTAGATTCTAATACAATGGAGGCACTGAAACTCCATTGTTGTGATAACTGTGGGTGTTATTCTGCAATGCTATTCACAGTTTTATATCAGAATGTCTATAGAGATTCTCAATCATCCAGGTCATAGTTGTCTCAAAGGTGCTTTTTTCAAGAGGCAACTGTACTTTCTTGTTTTTCTTGGAAGATGTTTCACTTTTCATCCAAGAAGCTTCTTCAGCTCTAACTGGATGGTGGGAAATGGCAGGATTTGCATTCTATTTGTCCAGCTGTCTGCAAGGAATATAAATCCTTCTATCCCCCACTATCCCATCAGAGCTGAAGAAACTTCTTGGATGAGAAGCGAAACATCTTCCAAGAAAAACAAGACAGTCCAGTTGCCCCTTCAAAAAAGTACTTTTGGGTCAGATTTATATCAGGTTTTGGCAGCTCTTGCCTTTAAAACTGATGGAGGAGCTTCATAACAAAGCTTGCCAGCAACTGGTGAGGTATATCAGCATGAAGTCCCTGATTATCAGAGCCCAAATGAAAGTAGTAGCACAAGTCATCAAAATGGATAACCTTCATATGCCTTGCCAGTTACCCTACACAGTGCAGTGAAGTCTGGGAAGAGACCTTTAGGTCAGTGCTGTGAAGAAACCCTACTCCATTGTGGCATCCAGCCAAAGGAACTAGAAGCTGCAGCTGCTGACAGAACCTGCTAGGAAGCCCTTGCCATAATGGGACTGCAGAGCCATGTCCATAATTAGCCTTCCAACCTACCATGCTGATTCGTTGATCCATAGAAACTGTGGATAATTTTATAACACATAATTGTATGCCTTTACTGTGGAGAGAGTGATCTTGTGCAAAAAATATAGTTCCTGTCCAAAATTAGTAAATTAAAATCTGATCTAGAGCAACTAGCTATGTTGACACATTGCACGAAGCCATAATGTGTGTTGGGTTTTGTTTAATACAGTATGTTATGTAAATCAGTTATTTATGTTTGGAATCAAAACAGAGGACACAAAGCAAATAATCAAGGCTCACAAAACCAAACACATTATGGTTTCATGCAATGTGTCAACATAGCCAGTCTTTATTAGATAGTACATGCTGGAGGGTACCTACCAAATAAATAGTGAGAGACCTGCAAATAAAGATGCGTTGATATTAACACGTTCAAAAAAGGAAGGAAAAATGATGCAGGCACATATATACATAAGTAATAGATGATGTAAACATACATATTCATAAGTAATAGATCTTGGATTGCTTCCCAACCTTCCTACTGTTAATATCTCCAAAAAGAGAATAATTGTAATGAAAAGAAACTTATCAAGGGGTTACCATGGGGATCTTCTGATAAGATTTGCTTGAGGTAGCTGCTCTAAGGCTGCATTCCTTATGTATCTATTTACCACAGTTATTAGTAAACCATAGCTTATGGCAGGGGTCTTCAAACTTGGCAAGTTTAAGACTTGTGGACTTCAACTCCCAGAATTCCTGAGCTAACATGAGTGGAGGAAGAATTCTGGGAGTTGAAGTCCACAAGTCTTAAAGCTGTCAAGTTTGAAGACCCCTGGCTTATGGTTTTTCATATTATGTAAACCCATAGTGTGGACATGTTCTCTCTGTTAAGAAGTATTCTGTTCTAATATGTTCATTTATTTATCTGTAAGTATTGGAGTCTTCCAAATCATGAAATTGCTCCCTTTTTAAAGATTGGAAATAATGTTTGCATAATTCCTGCGATTTTCTTGATTCCTGTAATTTTCCAGGTTCTGCATTAAGTCAGGTGATATTTCTGTTGTGGCTGAATTCAGTTGTATTATTGATATTCTGTTGGTATTCCCAAACAAGTTAATGAGTGATTTTCTTTAAAAAAAAACCTGAATACTTTAAATACTATGTTAAAAATACTGCATCCTTCTGGAAATCTGGTTCTAAAACAATAACAACATGCCATTCTGTCTTCTTAAAACTAATTCTGGCCATCTAGTCAGCTAAATGCGATAGCAGAGTTAATCTCATCAGCTACCTTCTGGAATGAACATTTTGTAGGTAGCCAAGCCTAGCAAGGGCAGCATTTTCACAAAAAATTGCAAGTCCATTTCTTTGTGGCAGTGACTATTAAAGTACTCATGACATACGAACATGAATTCCAAAGTAATTCATGCTATCTTTTCCTCATCTACGTCATTTATGTCATTTAAAAATGTAACTCCGTGGGTTGTGTAGATAGTATGAATTAGTTGACAAGGGAGAGGAGGGATATTGGGAGTTCAACATTTGGAAGGAAACAGATTTCTGTCTCTGATTTACACATTTTTTTGGACATGTTTAGGAATGCCTGATATAAAACATCTGCCACTATTCTTGAGCAAAAATAAATAAATAAATAATAAAATAAGCTCCTGATATGGATATTTGATTGACAAATATTTTAGACTACAGTTATTTGTATATCTTACTGCATATTTCATTGACTTACTTCAGAATTAGTCAATAATTTAAAGGTACCAGTGTCTTAAATATTGAATGGAAGGTACCAGTGTCTTAAATATTAAATGGAAGATTGTTGTCCAATAACAACATAGAAGTTTGGTTTTTGGGGCAGGACTACTAACAATACTTACCAATATCTGCAAATTATGAGGGATTTGTGGCATGAGATACAGCATGGAATTCAATTTTATATATTATTAGTGAGAAATTCTCATAGTTTGTTGGGACAATTATATAAAGTAGTCCTTTAAAATAGTAGTTATATAAAGTAAAGTAGTTACATAAAGGGAATATCAAAGTCCTTTTGGACCATGTATGAAAATGTTTAGCCCAACAGTAGTGAATGATACATTAGTAAAATGCTTTAGCAAAAGTATTGTAAAACATCTACAGGGCACAAGAGGTTTGTAATATTACATTTTTCAAAGGCTCCATGGAATTCAGTTGCATGGCAATGAGAAATTCTCATTATTTTACAAACAAATGTATGAATACCATTGATGGCAAATTTTCCTTCTTTTTATTTTTTATTAGCATAAACTACTGTATTCATTATCAGGGACACTTCTTATTTGAAGTACAATGTTAAGTAATTAAAGCATGTCCCATATCTGGAAATAATACAAAATATTACTTAGTACTTGACAAGAAATATTAACTTAATTTCTAAAAAAAATGCTTATGCAAAAAGTATGATTAATATTTCATGCAGGAAGAGGGAGCTTGTTGTAGGTCAAAATATAACAAGGGCAAAATGTATAGATCTGCAGTTTTTTTCACAATTCTTTATTACTGCTGTGTTGGTTTTTCTGAAAAATATAATTAAACCCTTTGAGCTTTGATACTTCCATAACTATAAAACTTTTTTCTTTTAGTAGGTCTTAGAATTTTCAGGGGGGGGGGGGAGCTGTCATTTAGTGGTAGAACAGAAGCGAGTTCAACACATTGTTTATTTGCCTGAAAATGACTTGGATAGAGATTTATTTCAGCGTATATCAAAGTTGACAAAGTCAGTTTCAATGTGCCCAATTTTGATGACATTCCCCTTATTAGAGTTAATTTAATCAATTAGCAGACAGTGAGCTGCTGCTTCTCTAATGACTGAGTGAGAAGCTTATATTCTGCTCTTAATTTCTGTTTCCAAAGCTTATAAATAAAAATACACACTTGCATCTTATGGAAGCCTTTATTAGGGCAAGTAAGTTGAAAATATTATTTCAGGTTCTGTTTATGTGGTGACAGACTTTCCTATGAAGCTTTCATGGAAGACCAAGATAAGCATATCTAAATGATACATAGAGTAACAGATATGAAGGTTACAACATTTTGCCATACCTGCAAATGTTGTTGAAGAATAAGGAAAGGATCTGCTAATTTTTATAGGTGGGGTGGGAAGGAAACTTTTGACTGGCTTTGCACATTAAATTAAAAGCCAGTTTGGTATAATGTTTAAAGCACAGGACTAGAGGCCCCTGGACAGTAACTGAATGTCCCTGGAGTCTCTCTTAGTCCTAATCTCGATCCCACACTGAGTAGAGAATGGTGGATTAGTTTTTTCCTCCACAGTAAAGATCATATGAAAGTGGATGAACACAAAACTCTGGCATATATTACCAGGATTGGTTGGGCTTTGATAGGGCTATAGTTTTGGGTTTCCATGACACTTTTCCATCAGCTCAAGGTAACATTTCATGTCAATCACAAAGACACCTGGCCTATATTAACTAGTCTGTAGCTTTGAAGTGTGATGAAATGCTGTTCGATCTTTTAAAGGTTATAAGGAATAATAATGTGTACAATACATGTCTAGTAAGTTAAAATATTTTCAAACATACTTATATAAATATCAGCACTTAGTGAATGAAATTATACTAAACATGTATATAATTTTTTCTCTTGGAAGGAGCTTAATTCTATAATTATTTTAGTAGAAAAAATTGTTTTGAATTCTGGATTTCATCAGTTCTGTTTAAATGGCAAATTTAGTGTATAACAGTTGTTGAGCTTATAAACTAAGGTGCAACACCTGCTTCAGTGTTTGTTAACTCTCTCTGTTTTTTGTTAATGTCTTAATATAGAAAACTGGTTTTCAAGAAGACCATGAAGCGATCTTGGTCAGAACTGATAAATCTGGCAGAGCATGGCCTGTTAATATTCCAGAAGAAACATTGGATCATAAAGGCAGAAGGAGGAAGAATCAAATGGTGGGTGTTTTAAATATATATATTTCTTATTAGTATAGATGTATATTAATAAAATAATATATAGACATCTCATTAGTTCATACTCCCTAAACATATTTTGCGTGAGGTGGCACTAGAGCAATAGTGATCTTGAAGTTCATATACCATAAAAAGCAAATTCTTAGCTATTTCTAAAATGTCATCAAAACTTTCCTTCATCTCTTTTATTATGACTTCTGTGGAATAGTAGAGCTCATATCAGCTCATCAATAAGGGGAATGAAGACTTTATTTGTTTTCCTCTTGGAACTTTCCAAAGGTTCAAGATTTGAAATGCCTGTTTCAGCCTTTAAAGATTTTCTTGAGCTGTTTTGGGAAGGAACAAGGTGTTTCAATGGTTGGAAATAGTCCATTTTGGATAGAGATGTTTATATATTTGTTTTCCCTTTGAAGGAATGATGCATTTGTAAAAATGTTCTAAGAAAAATATTTTTAATATGCTTTTCTATAATTTTGAACAGCTTTTTCCAGATGCCCATTTTGTTGATTATACCAAATAGAAAGTTATATTTTATACTTCATGCATTCTATCAATTTACATTTTATTGAAACTGATTTTCTGAACAAGAAGTCCTTAACTTATGATTGTAGTGGGATCAGAAAATTCATCATTAAACAGCACGATAGTTAAGTGACTACACCCAATTTTATGGCTTCCCTTCTCCCCCCATGGTTGTTAAGTGAATCATCATGATCATTAAGTGAGACATTTCCAGCTGGCTTCCCCACTGACTTTGCTTGTTGGAAAATGGCTGGAAAGGTTGCAAATTACAATCATGTTATCATAGGATGCTGCAACTGTCTTAAAAGAGATCCAGTTGCCAAATGCCTAAATCATTATCATGTGACTGAGGGTATTGCAATAGTCACAACTTCAAGGATAGGTTGTAAGTGTTTTTTCAGCACCATCATAAGTTCTGACCATCATTAAACGAATGATCATAAGTCAATGACTACCCGTAATTTCAGATGTTAGTTTGTGATAGGACGATTCATAACATTTTTCATGGGTTTGTTTTAAAATCAGTTGACAATCATATCAACAATCTTGTTTTTTTTAATATTGATTATTAGATACCTACTCATGTGGATAAGGAACGAATCCGATATTTTCAAGATGATGATAATTTAGACCTGAAGGATTTGATCAGGAATGAAAAGATGAGTACATCAGAGGATCAAAATAAGCTTTTCATGAGAATGGCATCAAAGGTAAGACTTGACAGTCTGAATTCTTACTAAAAATTAAAAGTACATTTTTGATATTTTAATTTTTTAAGTATTATTTCATATATTCTGAGATGTCTTTAGACTTATGTTAGAATTTAATTTTGAGGAAATTAGCTTAATAGTGTAATATTTTAGATAACAGGGCTTTCATTTAATAGATTATCTAAGGAAATTTCATTTTTAAGAGCAAGAATATCAATTGCTTGTTTTCTTCTGTGGCCATGAATTTTTTCTTGTGCCATGAATTTTTCAATAGACTTATAATAGGATCCTAAAATTTCAATGCTAAGCCAGGATGAGGCAAAAAAACAAAAAGGTTTTCAGTCTGTTATGGGGCCAGACCTACCACAGTTTTAAAGTAACAAACCCTGTTGCTATAAAATTAAGATTGTTAATACTAATTTACAGATTACAAATCTCCTCAGCAGTTGTATGGTTTGTCAAAATTAGGAAATACGTATTGTGATATCATAATACAAGCATTACCCCTTAAGTATTTGTGGGCAACATACCAACATAAATACAAAGGAGAATCACATCTTTTCACGTGAGCAACATGTTTCCAGATTATAACACTTGTACATAGTCATACTTTCATTTTCATTAATCTTATATAATATCAGCTCATATTATTATCCATTTCACTCATCTTTAAATAAATTTGCATTTCATATTTCAATTCATTGATTCAATATCATTTCATCAATTCTTTATCCCCTATTATTTCCATTTTCAGCTTACCACCTATTTTATTTTACATTACACATCATTATTATCCTTAATTTTCTCTAAGCCGATATACAGGTGAAACTTGAAAAATTAGAATATCATGCAAAAGTTCATTTATTTCAGTAATGCAACTTAAAAGGTGAACCTAATATATGAGATAGACTCATTATATGCAAAGCAAGATAATTCAAGCTGTGATTTGCCATAATTGCGATGATTATGGCTTACAGCTCATGAAAACCCCAAATCCACAATATCAGAAAATTAGAATATTGTGAAAAGGTTCAACATTCTAGGCTCAAAGTGTCCCACTATCAGCTAATTAAGCCATAACACCTGCAAAGGGTTCCTGATGCTTGAAGTCCATTGTGAAGTTTCCACAGTCTGTGTTGATTTGCTGGTGTTGGTCCACTGTGCTTCATTAAGTCCAGGGTCAACGCAGCTGTCTACCAGGAGATTTTGGAGCACTTCATGCTTCCTTCCGCAGATGAGCTTTATGGGGATGCAGACTTCATTTTCCAGCAGGACTTGGCACCTGCCCACACTGCCAAAAGCACCAAAACCTGACTGTGGGATTACTGTGCTTGATTGGCCAGCAAACTCGCCTGACCTGAACCCCATAGAGAATCTATGGGGCATTGCCAAGAGAAAGTTAAGAGACATGAGACCGAACAATGCAGAAGAGCTGAAGGCTGCTATTGAAGCATCCTGGTCTTCCATAACACCTCAGCAGTGCCACAGGCTGATAGCTTCCATGCCATGCCGCATTGAGGCAGTAATTGCTGCAAAAGGGGCCCAAACCAAGTACTGAGTACATATGCATGCGTATACTTTTCAGAGGTCCAATATTGTTCTATGTACAAGCCTTGTTTTATTGATAGCATGTAATATTCTAATTTTCTGAGATTGTGGATTTGGGGTTTTCATGAGTTGTAAGCCATCATCATCACAATTATGACAAATCATGGGTTGAACTATCTTGCTTTGCATGTAATGAGTCTATCTCATATACTGGTTCCACCTTTTAAGTTGCATTAGTGAAATAAATGAACTTTTGCACGATATTCTAATTTTTCGACTTTCACCTGTATAGTAAACAATCTAAAAAGAGTAAAAATAGAATAAAGCCAATATATTTAGGATCCACATGGTATTTTCCATTCCCCTACTTTAATCATAATAAAATATTCTCATTATACACTTCTGATATCCATTAAATAATCAACTGTATATTTTAAAATGTATATATTTTAAAGTATCCCCTCCAGTAAATCACTAAAATAGCTTCTTAATATATCTTATTTTATCTTCAATTTACTTATAACCATTAATAATCATATTTTAATTCATTTCCATTCCCTTGTTTTAATCCTCCAAAAAAGGGTTCATAACAGCATATTTCATATACAGTTCATATTCATATATATATGTAGTTATACATTCCTAAGGTATTTCCCAGCAAGTTTTAAACTAAATACCAATATTTATTCCATGTGGTATCCCCCTTATAGAATCCCTAACCCTTATCTCTAAATTTTTCGGCTTTATTATTTCTTTTAATTTTAGCCAGCTTTCTCTTTTCTAAATTTCCCTGGTCTTTTATTCTCTAATCCTGTTATCCACTTGCTAGAATACACTGTGTGTTGAGATATCTAGACTGCCTTTGTATCTCTGACAGATTCATAGAAAGGCATGGCCTCCTGTTATCTGTCACGGTGTGATTTGCCCCCGCCCCCCAAAGTCTCGTGCTGTTTCATTTGCTGTTCTGCCAAAAGCAAAGCAAATGGAAATTGAATTCCTGTTTCTTCAAGGTTTGCAGTTGTAAATCAATAGTCTGTGTTCCAGGCGGGTTGGGGTCCATTGAAGGTAATTTGGCCATATGTGGGCTACAGGTTTTCCATCTCACTTTAAAAGAACCATTTTGTTTTTATGAAAGAGGTTGGTCCAAGAAGTAATTTTTCCACTAGTCCATTTTTGTTTACAATTTAGTAATTGATATAATTTTATATTTAGCTGAAAACTTGAAAGAAGGTTAAATTTTTGAACCCTGTAAAAACCATTAAGCCTTCTTAAGCCTTAAAACAGCTTAGAGAGAGATGATTAACCCAAAGACTGAGGGTAGGTTTTATTTATATTAAAAATTGAAGCCAGTTTCGTAGAGTAGCCCCAATATTTTAGCATGCACATACGCATGGAGAGAGAGAGAGAGAGAGAGGGAGGGAGAGAGGGAGAGAACAATAGATGAAATCTGTATTCAGTTTTTAAAGAATGAAGATATAAATTTTTGCTTCTAACTTTTTTCTCATTTTTATTAATGATGTTTGCAGATCAGGATGACTTACTGTTTGATACCTTAATTTGAGGGAGAAATAAAAATTACATTAGTTAATATAAAAGCTATCTTAAAATTGTTAAAAGCTGGAAAATAATATTTTGCCTAGATACTGAGAAAGTGATTCTTCAAACACAGAAAAGGATATTAGAATAAAAATAGCAAGGGCACAGAGGGAAAATAATGTTAAAATAATTATTTCTAAATTTAAAAAAAAGAAGGAAGGAATGATGTGGGAACAGCAAGCAAGCAAGTTAATTTTTTTTTTTCTCCTCACCACATCAGGATTGTGTCACGAGCCAAGGCCATTTTTGTGTTGGGAATCATCACAAATCTTTAAAATACTAAATCTCCCCAAACATATCAATTACTAATTATTTTAGTTTTTCTGCCCTCGGGGAAATTTTACTTGTCTTTCCAGAAACTCTGCTATATTTGAAAAACTTAGTTTGTAGAAGCTACTGGCCATATCTATTAGGAATTGTTACCTGTCCAAGTGAATAATGAATGCAAACATTGGAATGATGGACAGTTGTCCTTCGGGAAGGCTTACCTGTAATTATTTAACAGCTTATTTAAAAAGAATAAAAGTAAAATATGATTATCCCCATCGTCCAGTTTGCTATTTTTGTATAATAGAAGAACTTTACCTATTTCTGCCTTCCTTCAGGTTTTTTAATTTTTGTGAACTTGCATACTGGCCATTGCACATTATGTGATTTTAGTTTTTTCCTTTTCAAACATTAAATCAACACTGGCTATAGGTTTTATTTTGGAAATATTTTCCAGTAGCACTCTTAACAACAACATTTTGTATGGGAATGGTATATTTCAGTTCTGTCAACTGAAAATGTCCCTCTAAAAATAGTCTTTTCTAAAACATCTATAGCAAACCCTCCAAAATAATAGGGTTTTTTTTCCAACTTATTTCTTAGCAGTAATTCAGCATCTAAGCAGGACAAAGATGTCTGATAGAAATCAATAAACTTTAATTACATAATCTAGCTTTTGATTATTGGTTTCATTTCATTTCTATAGAGGTACTGATTTTATATATTTGTGTGACAAACTCATGTATTACTATTGAGGTTCATTTAATAATACTGATGTCCCATGCAGAAAATTTATTCTGTTTCTATTGTGTGAGAGAAGTGAAATTAAATTGAAATAGTTTTGTTTCTTTAAAAGAACTCCTGTACATTTTATTCTGTACAAAATAATATCACCTGAGTCCTTTATAAATAGTTTGGAAATATTTTTTCTTTCTTCTGTTAGTAATTTGGATACAGCAGTTGTAGATGATCATCATGCAAAATAATCTAATAATAATTAATAATTCATTGACTTTGTATCAATGGAACAAATTGTTGGTGTATTATTCTACATTCAAATTCAGGTTCATATAGATACAATAGGATTTAAACTAATAAAGACATTTGAGTAATGAAATCTATCTAAGCTATATTTAATTAAGATACAGATTTTTTTTTATTAATGTGAATGAAATAACATTAAGTGCATTTAAACTATTCTTTTTTGCATTTGTAAGTCCATTTGTATAAAATCTTTTCTGTTCACATATGTTCTATTTTATGTAATATATTTGGAATCTAACATTCTTGGAATACAAATTCTACCATTGAGATTGGATAATGTCAGTGTTGCCATGGTGATTTAAAATCATATTGATGCTGTTTACACAATCTGTACACCTTTTTTATTCTGGCAGTTTTTCACAGCAGCTGTAACTCTTGCATTCATGTGGAAGGGGCATCTTGAATTGGTATTGCATTCGTGTTATTACCAGAACAAATTTTAGTTCACTAGATGAATACAAGCAAGAACGGAAACAGCCCACAGAAAATGCTAATAAATTTCGAGTCAAATATAAGTATTATATAAATATATATAAGTATTATAT